GAGCCCGCAGAACTCCCAGGCATACTCGATGAAAGGAAGATCTCTACAGGCTAGCACGATGAAGCGTGCAGTAATCTCCATAATCGCGGAGGGAAAACACAGAAAACAACACTTTCAAAAAAACGAAAACAAAAATGGTCAGAAGGGGCGCCGCTTACTTTCTGTTAGGTGCTGTCTTCTGTCACGGTGTGCCTACTGTGAGGAGCGAGGAACAAGGAGCGAGGAACGAGGAGAACTCAGGAGAATCCAGAATTAGCAGTCTTTATTGACACCAAAGGAAACACATGTAGGACATGGGGATCGACATACAAGACAGCACAGAGAACTCAAAACAGGAAACACTTTAAATACACAGGACTAAAGGAGGGGCACAATGAGGAATGCCTGAAATCAATAAACATAATCAAACATGAGGGAAAACTGGGTCAAGGAACACATGGGGGAGGAGAACACAGCACAAGACAGGAACAAAGTCTGACATAAATAAGGTTACCAAATGAAGTTAATAAAACATACATTGAGGCCATAATGCTAAAATCATGATCTTATAAATAAAAGTCAGAACAAAATCAACTCTTTGAAAATGTACAGTATTGCACATTTGAGTGCTTTGTGTTTGAATGAAGAGATCCGTGGATTTTGACTAACCACTGACCCTGAACCGCATAATCAACAGAAGAATTAAGCAATCTCTGTGCTGTATCATGATGAATTGTCACACAGAAGTACGCAATAATGTAAGGAGGATGTTTTCTCTTGTCTTTGATATACCACTTCCCGCTATTTAATTTGAAGAACATTAATTATATCTATCTAGCAAAGTTTCATATGAAAGTTTCCCCTCACAGTAAATGCGAACGTTGCAAAGACCATAAGCATGCCCATACTCACATCGCCGAAGCTCACCAACGCCATCTTGTGCACGTAGCCAATTAACATGGACTCCATGAGTTATACTAATGGGACTAACTCAAGAACAAGTTCAGATGGGATCTGCACTCACAGCATGAAGAAGGATATGAAGAGATCAAGCATCCACGTCACAGCTGGTTATGCTTTACTCTCTATTCATCTCTGAATATCTTCACAGAGCTAAGCTAAGTTCCTTTTTAATGCTCTCATGCTTGAGATCATGCTCATGCTTGTTGCTAAGGCTATCCATGTTGCTTAGGCTTATTTAGACTTTCAGTAAAATGCTTGTGGTAGGCTTTTGCGATCAAATTGGCAATGCGCATTATTATCTGGTGTCATTGGCAACATGCTGTGCTTCAACTTATCAAGTCTGGTCGCCTTTTTTATGTAGCAGCATACAGCACAGATCCGGGCAGCTTTGTGGTGATAGAGAGAAAATAACTATCATGGTGTGGGCGGAATCATTTCTGCTTTGGTGCAGCTCCGGGGAGAAAATGGTAATAATAATAATAATAATAAACTTTATTTTATATAGCGCCTTTAAAAGTAGCATCTCAAAGCGCTTTACATACATATAAATATATGAAGTTAAAAGATACACACAACAGTACAGGCAGTAAAGAACTAACCAAACAACACAAAGCCAATAAAAAAATAAAAAATTCCTTCATTAACGTAAAATAGTAAATAAACTAGTTGGGGGATATTTAGAATGTGTTACTATTCAATCCGTTCAGTGTTTCTGGTTTCAGTTTTGTTTCTGCTAAAACTATTTCTCTTGATGAATAATCAGCAAGCTTTGGACATTAAAATTAGCTCGCTGCACACCTGCACTTATTTTCATTGTATTGTTGTAACTCATTTGTAAAGCCTTTTATTTTTTCTAAATATCGGTAGAGATAGCCTATTGTCCAAACCCTGCACAGTAAAAGATTCAATTCAATTTATGTTTATTTATAGCGCTTTTCAGATACACGTCGTTGCAAAACAGCTTCACAGAAAATGAGTTTCTACATTACAAAGATGGTGATTGTTAACGTTGAATTCAGATTTTCAGGCATGAACTACACAGCCTCTACATCTGTGTGGATCATGACTCGCATGTCCGGATAGTGAGGACAATTTATTAAACCTGCCATTGCATTAATTCGATAGAAAAAAGGCAGAGAAAGCAAGCAAGAAAGAATAGAAGCAAGAAAATATCAAAATAAAAATATATCGCGTCAATAAGGTGATGGCCAGATAAAACTTGACATTCTGTCCACTGATATATAACTTCTGAAATTATGGCCACGCCCCCTGTCAGTGCGTCACTATCGCAACTACAACTTACTGCAGTGCAAACTGTACATTATAGTGCACACAGGCAAGCACATAAACACATACATTCTCATCATTAACACCAGACCAACCTTTCTGCAGTCCTGATCTAGGCTTGTATTTTGCACGCTAATATAGTGCTGAAACTGAAGAAGCTCCATCTTCAAGTCCACGAGTTGAAACAGAGGAGCTTCATGCATAACAGCGAGACGACAAAAACTAAATTACACTTAACATGCATGGAACTGGAACCTATCTGTACAATTTAGTTTTAAGACATTTACGTGTAACACAAAAAAAGCATAAACAATGCATAAATCGTTTAAAGTTAGATGAAAATTAAGTTAGGATTACTTTTAGGATCCTCCCCTCTTCTTTCTCTTCTCTTCCTCCTCTGCCCCAAAACAGGTAGAACAGGTTTACAGTACAGAGCAGAGCAAACAAGAAAATGAGGTTTCAGAATTCGCCCTACTGTATATCCATGCCCGCAGACAGGGGGACTCAGGTAGTTCGAATTCAAGTCCGTTTATTTTCTTTTCTTTTTTTTTGATCGAAATGATCTAAACCTAACTGAAACCCTAATTGTGTTAAAAGCGCCACTTCTGTGATTCTCCTTCCGTGAATGTGTTAAACTGGCACGTGACATGTAACAACCTGTGCAGCAACTGATGTTATGCACTCAGCCAAATCTGTGAGGCCAACTTCATCCAGCTGGATCGTGACAGAGTTGCCAAGTCCGCTTATAACCTATGTACATTTGGGCTTCTCTTTTTGTTAAGTTGTTAAAAAAAAATCCTGGGGCGCTGG